GGGGACCGGAAGGAGGCTTCCAAGGAGCCCGAGGAGGCCAGGTGCCTCAGTTTCTCCACTCCTCAGCAGGGGCGTGGCCGAAGGTCTCCGGACTTGGGGTACTCCAGCGCCTCTTAGCGTTACTGGCTTTGTGGGTGGTGGCTGGTGATGCCCGGGCCAGGCCTAAGAGCGGAGCCACCAAGGCCTGGACACCCGGGTGCCAATGCAGACTCCACCACTTACCACTGTGTGACCACGCACTGGTCTTTCTCCCGGCCCCTCCTTTCTGAGCCTCGGTTTCCCCATCTTCCGGAGGGACCTGGCCGGTGTAGTCCTGGCACGCAGGGCTGTCGATCAGAGGCAATAGGTGGTGCTGGTAAGTCGTTAGAGAGCACGGAGGATACTCATCCATTAGCTCCCAGAGCACCTGCTGCAGGCAGGCTCCACTAGACGCTGGGGACAGGGCCTGGGGACCGAGTGCCAGTGACCGCGCAGACAGAGTCCCCGCCTGCCGAGCTGGCGTTCTAATGAGGGGCGGACAGAAGTGAGGCACACAGTGAGTGAGAAGATGAGAAAGGCTGTGGAGAAATAAAGCAAGGTAATAGGATAGGGTGTGGGGTGCCGGGCAATGCCGCCCCCAGGACCAGGCCGGGCTGCAGCCGAAAGCCCCGCCCCCGCCCCTCTGCAAAGCTGGGAGCTGCCACCTCCCCAGCGCCGCTGAAGGTCGCGGGAAACCTGCAGACTCGGCGTTCTCTGGGAGGGTGGGCAGCAGGAGCGAGCCGGCCGTGTGGAGTGGGAGAGTCTCCCTGTGGGAGAATCCGTAGGAGGGCCAGAGAGAGTGCTGGTGGGGGCTGGAGGACACTGGGGAGGAGCGGGGTGCAGGCAGACAGATGGAAGGGAGGCCAGAGCGCCCTCCGCCTCTGAGGAGGGCTAGAGTCAGGGTCAGAAGGGACTCGGGTGATGCCAGTCTGCCCCAGCTTGACCACCGGGGTCTGCCCAAGGTACTTGTAGGGGACAGAGCTGGGCTCCAGACCCTGGAGAGAACAAGACCACCA